GTCGTCAATGGGAAATCTGATGCAGCGCTGTGGTACAGAGTTCTACAAAACAGACGGTTCATTCCCACCGTACATCCCAGCTGACATAGAATTGCAAGACAAGATGGGATATGTTTTGTTCTACCAAGATATATTGAATGATATGAATACTCCAAGAACACTGTTTGGTGGCAACGAAGACACTGGAACAAAGTTTTTATTTCTAACCTGGATGTTTCGCAACAGACCAGCTGATCGGACTATGCACGATCATCTCATTGGCGATGTTACGTCAGAAAACGACGCCTTTCAAACTGTCATGGCTTTGACATATTCAAGACCTTAACCCGTTTGATGGAACAACACCGTTTTTCTGGGAAGAACGCCGACCGTTTTTTGAGTGGCGCATCCGGGTAAAAAGAGGAGTTGAAGGATTGGACACCCTTCTCCCTGATGATTTGTTTGATACCTGGACACCCGGCACTCCTATTGTGATGGATAATTATCCAAATCCAGTGGGACATGTTGAGACCATGTCAACACTCAACACAGGTCCTATCTGGTCGTCATATTACTTACGGTTCCCGGCTACTTCCGGCATTGACGATACAAATTTGATACCCGGGGAACCAATCACAATGATGGACTATGTATACAACTGGTTATACCGAGACTTTGAGATCGATTTGAAAGGCGCCACCACACCAGCAGAAGCCGCTACACTTCTAACACCAAGTGAACTACACAGCCGTCTTATACCCCCAGGTTGGGATGATACAGATACATTGAAGCTTTTGACCTGGTATATGACAAAGCGTCAAACACCAGACATGTACAAACCATGCTCACAGGTATCATCTCTGACCACAGGTATAGTACCCCCTATTGGGGTGGACGATATGTGGCAACCTTTTTCTTTCTACGAAAGCTATTGGAATGAAGGCGTTCTTCAGAATTTATTCTTGAACGATTTCTATATTTTTCTGGACTATCAAGTCGGATGGTTATACCGAGACTTTGAGATCGATTTGAAAGGCGCCACCACACCAGCAGAAGCAGTATCTTTGGTTACAGAGATTCATCCCACAGTTGACATTGGAACTATCAGCAACTCTGACAAGTTGAATTTTTTTCACTGGTATTTGGGCAGGAATGACAAGGTTTACGCCCCATGCGAACCCGAACCATTTCCTAGACCCCCTACATTGATTTCTAGATCCGGTGAAGGAGAAGCTGACATTTATATAAAAGACACTACTTACCAAAATGGCATTCCCATTGTCACCGACAGGAAAGAATGCAACGAATGTTTTCACAAATCAATGTTATATGAATATAAAGATACAATCCTCATTCGATTTTGGGGAGCTCCGACATCGGTTAAGATTCGCGCTGAATTCATAACTAACCGCGAGTACCAAATCGTGGAAGGAACAAAGTTTGGACAATTTCAAACATTTAATAAAGGACACAATCGCGCCAAACACGCCAGTGCGAGACACGCCGTCCGAAGAGACCCCGGTTTGGCTTCAGCCACAAAACTGAAAAGGAAGAAACCATACATCCCAGGTCATTAGTATGGCATCATATATAATTAACCCGTTTTCACGTACATCTAACCCACCCAAACTACAAGATGGACGTATGGACAAAAGCATAGGCTTACAAAATAGGATTTCATTGGACGTTGTAGCTGACGCCGTGACTGTAAACGGTTATGCACTGACAATGGTCGTTTTACAACCAAGCCTAAATATTCCAGCAATGGTTTACAAACTCAGCGACGGGCAAATTTGGAAACATGTAGACCCAGCATTACACGAAATTGCTACTATTGACGACACCACATCCCCCACCGAGGTCACATTGGAAGGCCCAGCCAACTGGAGGGTTGTGTCTCAAGGACTCCGCATCTTGTGCACGGAAGCTGAGACCAACCAAGAAGGATACTTTGAAACCGTGTCCATTCCAACCCGTCATGGAACATCAACCAAAACCTCCAAAGCAAAAAGTACCGCCCAAGATTAGAGAGAAAAGGAGTCTCTATGTCTATCCCCGAGATCGCCCGTTTATATGGACAAGTGGACAAATGGAGAGACTCACAGACTTATATGTCAGGTAGTTTTCACCACCAGAATGAACTTCAATACCGACAACTACCAAATGATGTCAGTCATCCAATCAACCATTTGAAAAAGAAATATGTCGTAGGTGACAGTAATTACAGTGATTTTGTAGACGATATGCAAGATTTGTCTTTTCAAACGCGTATTATTTTGTTAAGGTCACACCCAGAACGAAAATTTAACATTCAAGTCGTAATGAATTACGAACTTCAATACCCACCGGAACATCTAGTTTACGCATTTGAAACACAAAACGAGGTTCAATCGCTGGTCAACGCGGTTCATTTTGCATCGGGACCATTTCTATTGGAACAGACAGTGATGATGCATGAAGCCGTGAATGGTGTCCAACCTAACACTAACTCTACACGGACGATAATCCCTGATGTCGTGGGAGTTGGTGGCGCCCAAAATGGCCGCAAGCGCACCGCTGCGTTGAACGCCGACGAGCTTGTAAATATGATGCAGCACATGTCAGAACGCAACAATCGATTTGACCGCCATTTATTCAAGAAAAGAAAATATAATTAATCATAATTTTAAAAAGCATTTTGTGTGAACAAGATGGTTGTTGCTTCCGCGGCCAAAAATTGGTGTTTTACTTTAAACAATTATACGGATGAAGATGTTGAACGCATAAAATCGTTGAACGACGTTGCCTATGCTGTTATTGGTAAGGAAATTGCACCTGAAACCGGCACTCCACATCTTCAGGGATATATTCAATTCAAAAAAAAGAAACGTATGCGCCAGGTACAAGCGGCAATCAAACTTAATATGCATTGTGAAGGTACTAGATACGTTGATGAGTCAATTGCTTACTGTAAAAAAGACGGAGATTTTTTCGAGATAGGCAGTCGTGCCGACTTAACACAGGCTAGAAAAAGAACCGACCTACAGGCCTTCATGGAGACAGTTGAAAACGGAGAACGTGACCCCAAAGTGCTTCGCAAATTACATGCAACAGTTGCTGCGAACTACCATCGCTTCTTCCATGATTACATCCAGGACAACGCCCCAAAACGTATTTTGGGCGAGTTTAATTATCGGGAATGGCAAGCCAATTTGGCGGAAGTACTTAACGGTGAGCCAAATAAACGTGAGATTGTTTTTGTTGTTGACGTCACTGGTAACGAAGGAAAGACATGGTTTGCACACACTTATTGTCGCAAACACGAACAGACAAACCGTTGTCAAGTCATTGTCCCCGGTAAAAAGGCTGACATGGCTTACACTCTAATCTCGGAATCATTGGTCGTGTTCTTTGACTGCCCCCGGTCGAAACAAGGGGATTTTATTCAGTACGCTTTTTTGGAAGAAGTGAAGAACGGATACGTCTTTTCTAGTAAATACGATTCACGAAACAAAGAATTCGACACACCACACGTGATTGTGTTAATGAACGAAGAACCAGATATGTCTAAATTATCCAGTGACCGATACAATATCATTTACTTAAATGAAACGGTGCCTGCGATGGTTTTAAATGACTAATAATTGTTATTGCTTTTTAGATAACAACACTAATGTGCTGCCTTTATTGTGCGTAGCCGCTTCTTTTGTTGTACTGCAGACAATGTTGCCGGATATACTTGATTCGTACTATTCATGAATTGCGCTACATGTGAATTGGCCCGGTAGTTAAATTCGTAATTTCCGTAGAAATCGATTAAGATCCGCGTGGTTTCATTTCCCCAAATGTCTAACAAAATCATATCAAAAGAATTGTCTTGCATTTGTTCCGATGATGTGCTGTCATTTGCAAATAACACCCACGGATGCAAATGATTTTCGGTTGCTAACATGAAATCTTTTCGTATAAGGTCTTTAATTCTTCCCGAGCTAAAGGAATTATCATTTGGCCATGTAGCTCTGTCTGGTAACTCGTCAGTAACAGGGTAATGGTTACCACCTGTAATCCTGTGTACATTATTGTGACATTGTTTAAGACGAATTGCTTGCCAATGACCGCTGTTTTGTTCATCGCTGTTGATAGTTCTGACTTTCATCCCACAACTAACTAACCGCCAACCTTCCAAATCGGCTGGAGCGTTAGCGATTATTCCAATGCCGGGTTCCGTGGTTGGAGTAGTAGTAAGACCAGTATCAGGTCCTCCACCTGTCGATAGCGGTCGTTTGGCAAATGTTAAGTCCGCTGTCGTGTTTAGGTTGTCGGCGGACCAAGTGCTTGTGGCTACGCTTTTTTTCAGGATAGCACCAAAGCACATAAACCCCGGAAATAAAAGAACTTGAAGATTTCCTGCGTTGGCTTGAGTACCTTCACCCACTAGCTGTGATCGATAACTCACACCAAGAGTCATGTTACGGGACCCATCCGGGATTCGCGGAGCTTGTGTCTTGAGTGACATGGGATTCAAATAGACAGCGAGCTCCCGCGCCGCTTGGCTAGTTCCATAATTCGAGGAACGTTTGAACGTGGATCGACGTTTACCACCATATTTTCGTTTGAAGCTACTTTTAAAGCTAGATTTACGACCCCCTCGTTTTGCGGTCCTACGACCTGTTGTTCGTCTTCGTACAGCCATTTCAGTTTTTTAAGAAATTATTTTATGACAATGAACATCGACGCTGAAAACGTCAAGCGTTTGCTAAAACAGGAAGTAGAGTATGACGACTGGCGCGGCGTTGGTCTTAGATGGGCTAATGCTGGTTATTACGCACACCGTGAGAAACTTTTAATGAACTGTCAAAGCGACAACGTACCAATGCATATAGTTGAGAAAACGTTTTATTTGGCAGATCGTTTTGTGATACAAAATGATGTACTTCTGTACATGGACGATGGTTTTTTGTCGTTGATACTCGCTATCGCGTTTTATACAGTGACCAACCATCACTACAAGAACCTTTTTAATCTTCATCAGTTCACGAGATTGCTACAAGTGGACAAAGGCCTATTTTTGGACATGGAAGAGCTCATTGTGGTCGAATGCAACCAACGGAAGTCAAAACCGTCAGTTTTTGAATATATTAAACATTTGTCGGAGTTGCTCAGCGAACAGTTTGACACAAGAAGCACGACTTCAATAACACAAAAAGCGAACGAAATCGCAGTCCTTGTCCTAAATGATCCTGCATTTGCTATGTTCAAACCATCCGGTATCGCATTGGCATGCATCTACCATGGAATTGGTTTACGCTTCGAAGTTCGGAGTTGGTGCCCTCTGGCATTGTTGTCAAAGTTTCAGTTTGAAGTGGACACACATTGGTACTATTGCGCGAAGTTATGGGTGAATAGATTATTGGATCATAGCAGTTTGACACAAAACCGCCTGGAAATCTAACCACGATTAACGTTCAAACTGGTGTGTGACCGGCCGGCTATTGACTCGTAAGTTAACAAAGCTTAAGATTTTTTTTGAAACTTCACTCCTCCCAAAAAAACCGCGCCAAGGTTTTCATTTTGGTTTCTAAAGCTTCATAAATTTGAGAAACCAAAAACTTGAAAAGATGACAACTGATTTGATAGCCATGATGCGTACTCTCCCACCGGAGATGCGCGCACAGGTCTATGAATGTATTGAAACACCAAATTCTAAAATGGGCAAGGTAATGAACCATCTGGCTCGGATGCGCCATGAGGTTACTAGGATCCGCAACCGTATGTTTGCACACGCTTATCCTTTCATGCAGCAACGTAACAGGGTTACTTCTATTAATATTGTCGAAATACAAGCACTCATTTATGATACTGAAGATGTCGACTGCACATCGAATGACGTTTGTCTTGAACTCCGTCAGCGTTACAAGAAGTTGTTAACTGACATGGCTTTTAACAACATGAACTACCGCGTCGTTTACCGCAGTACTGTTTGTGTTATGCTTGCACTTGACGAAGTTATTTTTGTTAACAAGAATATCATGTTGATTAAGTCAGAAATTGCCAATCAAATTGGCTCCCCTTCTGTACGTGTCATGATGGAAGAAGCCGCTAACCGCGAAAACGCTGCGGCGGCCGGTGTTGCTGCAGCCGTGAACACTAACGAGGCACCAACCATCGCAGGAGACGACCACTCCATTCCTGATGAAGTTGAAATTGCACCCGATTGCGGTGAATTCGGGACGATCAGTGACGCCGAAGTTCTTGCGGTCACCAAGACGGAAGATGATGTACCAACCCCCAAACGCTGTCCCACGCTTCCCGATACCAACGCCCCGCGCAAGCGTCCACGCTCCGACGAAGAGTAACGGGTCGAGTAATTTAAAATTATGAAATTACTCATAAAATGAGCAATTTAATATTAACTCTAACATTAATAACACCACTCTTGGCTCTAATTGACGCAATAATTACTTTATACATCCATCTTCATCAAATTCGAATCGAATCCAAGAACGACCATATTCTCGCTAAGATCAGTCGCGATGTTTACACTACTGCTAGGAGTTCTCAATGTTCAACTTCCAGTAACGAACGCGAAGCCCAGGACACGCGGACTCAAAAAACATAAATCCAATTGTAGTAAAATGGAAAAGAAAAAAAGTAAAATGTCAATGATGAGTAAGTCACACAACTCTACACGTTTGTTAGACGGAGGAGACGATTATTGGTAAAAAATTAATTTTTATTAATTAAAAATTGCTTGACAAGAATCGGTATATTTTCTGGGTAGTTGTGTTTGTTCTTTTCTTTTGCCAAAGAAGCAAGACTAAATTTGGATCCGAATCGTTGGATCAAACACTCATGCACGGGAGTCAAAAAAGTCAAAGTCAACTCCCGAGGTTCAGGCCATCGTTGCATAAACATGAGCATGACTTTGATAGCTTTGACAGTTCGTCGCCACTTGTTTTCAGTCTTATTATCAACACAAACGGCAATCAAAGACCCTCCCATCAGAACATGATGAAGCCATTTGAGTAGAACCTCTACTGGATGTACTTTGGTCTTCAATTGACCAATAAATGCTTGCACTGTTGGTCCCGTTTTGGGCTGCATCGCAATAAATTGCTTCGACGACGATGATTCTGGAGCGTCTTTTGGACGCTGGCTTGATTCCTTTACAGACCCAGGAGAGTAAGATGGCAGTATGCAACATCCTGCCTTGAAGGCATGAAACTCCTCGTGGGAGACATTCTTCTGTGTTAGCAGTACATTTACACGACTCACAAGGATGTGCTCGTTCACATCCTGAATACCTTCTTGCAACAGGTCCAACAATGCATCCCATTTTGCCAAAAAACAAACCAAGATACACCGTTTGAAAGAATAATCAACACAATCAACATGACCAAAAAGAGCAGAGCAAAGTTTGTCGCCTGTAGCGACACAGTTTGGTGTGCCGACGTCTTGAAAATCCGGAATCACAACATCTGGGAATTCACCCTGCAGTTTGTACCAACCGCTGAGACACTTTTGACCTTCAAGTAGATAACCAAAACGTGTGTAAAAGTAGTTGGTCCTGCTTCCTTCGTCCACCTTGTGACCAGCCCACATTTTAGCCGCCATCGACAAACCAGCAGTGTCTAGATGGTGCTGCGCTGTATGCTTCAACCAATGACTAGTACCTTGT